TCTATTCTTATTAAAAAGCTTGTCATCAACTTCAAATTATGCAATTACTGTACCGAACAAGAGATTGCAATAACCTTGATGGCTCATAACATGTTTATCCCTATCTTTGCCGATGAAAAAATTACCAAAAGAGAAAAATGAAATATGCACACTAATTTCTTCTCTGATTAGAGCTTTATTTTTGGGTAGCGAACAAGCGACTTCTCAATAGTCTGACACTACTTTGAAGAAAAGCTCTGTAGTGACAGAAGTCCCAAGTAACTCCTATATATGTTATATCACAAATTTATGTAGCTTGGTAAATAGAATCATGTGTAAATGAGAAGATTCATTACCAGATGGGCTATAGTGTAACGACCCGACCGGTCGTATTGAGAATTAGCATCCTGTTCGGTGGCATAAGGTCTCAGGCAGCTTCGTATTATGTATTATGACTTGTTGTAACGATCCGACTGGTCATTTTGAGCAATTGCGTCTGGTTCGGCAGTTTGAGGTCATGTCTAGCTTTCCACAGTGTATTATGACTTGTGTGCATCATCTGTTCGCGTTTCTGAGAGGTTCGAAAAGGATTTTAAGGAGTGGCTCTCATTTGAGAACTCGAAGTTGAAAGAATCGACCAAGGTTTGACTTTTGAGTATTAGACCTCGGAGTGGAGTTTCGATGGTTCCAACAGGCTCGGTTGGTAATTTTTGGACTTAGGCGTGCGTCCGAATTTGGATTTGGAGGTCCGTAGGGTAATTTGAAGCATTTTGGCGAAAATTGGAAAGTTGAAATTTTGGAAGGTTAAGAGGTTTGACCAAGAATTGACTTTTGTGATATCGGGGTTGGAATGCGATTCCGAGAGTTGGAACAGCTCCGTTATGTCATTTGGGACTTGTATGCAAAATTTGATATCATTGTGGATTGATCTGATAGGTTTCGGCGCGAGTTTTAAAAGTTGGAAGATTTGAAAGTTCATGATTTCGATTCATGGTGTGATTCATAGTTCAAACATTGTTTGATATGATTTGAGGCCTCGAGCAGGTCCGCGTTATGTTTTGGAACTTATTGGCATGTTTCGACGGGGTCTCGAGAGCCTCGGGTATGTTTCGGATGGACTACGGGCTATTTCTCTATGTTTTGGACTGCTGGTTTGCTGGTGTGCCTATTGTTCTTCGCGATCGCGATGTTGATGATGCGATCGTGAAAGGCTTCTGTGGAGCTCAGGAATTTTGTTCTTCACGGACGCGATCTTAAGCATGCATTCGCGAAGAATTAGTTGTTCATTGTCCACGTTGGCACCTGTATGTTCGTGTTCGCATAGTGGAGCTGGGAACTGGTGGACTTTTACTCGTCGCGTTCGCGATTGTCTGGAAGCGTTTGTGAAGCCTCTGGTAATTGTTCATCGCATTCACGAGGTTTGTGCCGCGAACGTGAAGCTTTATTCTCACTGGGCAACAATTTGTTCTTCGCGATTGCTTAAGAGGAATCACTGGGCAGAATATAAAAGTACTCTATTCCGATGGTTATCCATTTTCAACATTTTTGGAGTTCTAGAGCTCGAGTTTTGAGCAATTCTTCGTGGGGTTTTCAAACAAATCAATTGGATAAGTGTTCTTCACCTAGAATTTATTATATTCTATGATCCTATCTTTATTTGTATCATTAAATAAGTGTTTCGAGTTGAGGAAAAATGAGAATTTTGAAGAAAATCTTCAAAATCTAAAATTAGTATATTATTAGTTTCTTATATTTTTTTTTTGTTAGCTAGCTTCTTATTTTAATATACAGAGTTAGTAGAATTAATGGTGTAGTATAGTAGTAGTAGTTTTAGTAGCTTAATTTAAAATAAATAAAATAAGAAAAATCGAAAAAAAAAGTAGAAAAATTAGACTTTTCCTGGCGATGGATTTCCTAGACAGTTTTTTTGAGGGATTTAAGTCTAAAGAAAAAGGACAAAAATAATTTCTTTGTAGGTAGTGTAGTAATTCCCCCTTGATTTTCTGTGACGCGGTTCTTTTCCAAAGATTTTGTTTGAATCGGGTGTAGTTGGTTTTTATTTTGTTAGAAGTAGGAAACCTTGTGCTATGTATTGAATTGTAGCATTATCTGTTGACTTTGTTATTCCTTGAGAATAGTGAGTACTTTAGTTGTGACGCATAGGCTCAGTTTTTGACTCTTGTATAAGTACCTTAAATTATATGATCTTAACTTTGCTTAACTGCTTTGACCGAAATGTCTTGATGAGTCTAATTCTGAGTGAGTTATGTGCCATGTGTGTGTGAGGTTTGTGTGTTATTCCGTGCATTGCATCTGATGTCTAAAACTTGCCCCCATATGTTTGCAAAGCGAAATAGTAGTTTTGTTCAGTCTTGGAAGTGATGCAGGCATTTCATTGTTGAGCCAGATATATATAGTTTACCCACCTAATAGTTATGTATCGTAGTTAACCCTTTGAGCCTGTAATCCTGTTTCTTTGGCAACCACATTACAAGCCTTACCCATTTGTTTGAATTACCCATCTATTTGAACCTTTTCACCTCTCAAGAGCACTTGAATTGTTATGAACTTTGTAAAAGTTAAAGTGTGGGGTGAGTGGTTTGGCTTTTGAGTAGAATTAATGAAATAAGGAGAAAGGTGCATTATTTTAAAAAGGTAAGAACCGCTTGAATTGAAAAAGAAAGAGAAAAATAGTTGTATTGTAGTGCAAATATTCCTCGATAAGTGGTGACTCTTGATGTAATTGTGCTTAAAGACGTAGGGAGTTATTGTGAAGGTGGAGTTATGGTTTGACATAAGTGTGGGATTTTAAATGTTAAAGTGTATGTATTAAAGTGCTTAGGGAGCTGAAGTCACTATTATATATAAATGTATCATACCCGTCCCGCAGCCTACATTACAACCAATTAAAGTCCTACTTGATCCTAAACTGGATGAGCTCGATTAGTAGAGCAGCACACTACGGGCAAGCCTATGGTGCATCTTTTGTGACATATGAATGTTATTTTTTTAGAGTGAGTGAATTATTTCGATCTTGAGTTCTTAATGGTTCTTAAATTGAATTTTGTGTGGAACTACTCTCTTTTGTTGTGTGAGGGCACTTGATTCATGAAGGAAAGGTAATGTCATTGACCTCTATGTTAGAGTAAGTGAATGAGTTGTGAATTATGCGTGGTACTTGTGAGTCAAATCTATAGGTGAAGATGTTAGACTCTGGTGCTTAGTCTATTTTAAATATTCTAGGTGTGATGAGTTAGGAGAATTATTTAAAATGGTAGTGTCTATTTAAAGTGTAGTTTGATTGCTCGAGGACGAACAATGGTTTAAGTGTGGGGTGTTGATGGTAGACTATAATTACATATTTTAGTCGCTTATCGCACTCTAATTTACTGCATTTTAATTGAGTTTGAGCTTTAATTGCTAGTGTTTTACACTAAATGTGTGTTTTATGCCTTGTAGGAGTGATTCCAATCTATGTAAATGTTATGGAATAAATTCAAGCTATTCTAGAGCTTTGAAGTTCGAGTAAAATCCCAAGGATTAAGTTGGGATCATGTTCGGGGATCAACGGATGATAGTGCTTGAAGAACGAAACGAAGCATCGAGCAGGCATACTGAGCATTGTCCAGTAAAATGCACATAACTTTTCGCTTTTTGCTCAAAAATCCGTTTGGGCTCCACAATATATCGTTGGAAAGCTATTTAAAAGGGCTACAACTTTCTTCTTTTACATTTTTTCAATTTTCCACAGTCGCGCCACGACTGTGTAAATTGATGCTGCCCTCAAATTGCATGCTCTCTGAAGTTCCCCACAAGCACATTGCATGGCACGTCACCCCATGCGGCACGCCTGTGCAAAGTTTACCGAGCCATAGTCCAATTTTGCGCGAGAGAAGGTGTTTTTCGTCTGGGCCCCACCCTACTCGGTATAAATACATGTAAAAGCGTTGTTTTGTAACTTTTGACCAAGGGAGAGCACAGAGCCGCGTGGAGGCCGGGTTTCATCTTTCTTCCCCCAAAATTAGTAATTTTTATGTTTCTTTGTATGAATTGTTGTTTTGCTATTATGTCTATGTGGAGCTAACTTCACGTTCTAGGGTTGTGGTTCTTTCATGACTATTGTTATTCGCATATTGATTTTGATTTCTTAGTTTATCATATTGGTTTGTTTTTTCAATCCTGCGCTTAATTATTTGATTTCTTGATCACCGGTTGAATACTATCTACGAATCTAGAGTTGAACTCGAAAGTGGAAATTCTAGATTGCATATAGGATTGAGTAGAGTAAGTTCTTGAACCTGGGCATCGGGGAACGGATTCGCGGTTAGGATAGACATATACCTAATTGTCTTGTTTGGTTGATGTACAGAAATTATATATGCGTTTTTGTTAGTTCTAATTCCATAGACATATAGGCGTTAGGTTAGCTTGAATAGGCGAGTAAGAACTCGACAGATTCTTATGAGCAATATTAACCCTGTTAACCAATAAACTAGATGAATTAGTTAGTCAATTCAATTGAAGAATACAATAGGAATGTTAGATAGCCCATAACTCTAGATCGTTTTCATCACATTGATAGTATAAAATTCTGCTCTTCCTCCGCTCGACGTTCTTTTTTTGTTTTTATTTATTTTAATTAGTTTAGAACCAAATACTTCTAGTTTTAATTTTTGTTTAGATAGTTAGGATAATCTAATTTAGTTAATAGTTAATAACAAGTCCTTGTGGGTTCGACACCCGACTTTTAGTCACTTTATTCAATTAAGATAACTATTTACTGCATCCAATACACAGTAATACTAATATTGATCCAATTCATCAAAGTTGAGATAATCATTCGCATCACGTCAAGATTACTTTGAGCGTTGTTGTTTAAAAGCGCATGGCGTTGCCAATAAAGCAATAATCCTTCGCTTCACTTTTCTTCAGACGATGAAGCAATGACTTTTAATAGCACTAGTGGCTATATAGAAAATACAGCGTTTTCTCTAGTCATTACAAGAAAGGGAGAAGAAATGCACAAAGAAGGGAACCGAAATGTCACATTAATGAACAACAAACACTGTGTAAGCACAAGAATGAAGTTTTATGACACAACAGAATCGCTTAAATCCAAACAAATATTTTCTTTTTTTTTCAAAATTTCGTATGATTTTCTTTATTTCCAAATCTGGTCTATATAACTCAAACTACTTCTGTACAGAAACATGAATAAGAGGAAAACATGTTATCTACCATACCAGCCTTGTGGCGGCTGGCTTTCCCCATTGTTCATCAACTTGTCCAACACCACATTCAAATCAACTGACTGTCCATTCTCTGTCAATCTCCGCACTGTTGCTCTTACTTGGTCTCTTGAAAATCCCATATTTGTCACTTTATCAACTACATCATCAATAGGAACTCTAGTTCCAGTACGAGGAGAACTAGACCCACTACCAACTGTAGAAGCGGTATGTAGTGCTTGAGGTAATATTCTTGCTGTGGGGAGGTGTGGATAACCACTTCCACCACTCTGGCCCATTGCGGCCGAAGCAAGTTGCTGCGATTTAAAAGGGGAGTCACTGCCATACTGGACAGGGGAACCGCTATAAGGATAAGATTCACCCGGGCCAGTGGATGGACCATGAGCACCAGAAAATCCAGAAACCTGTCTGCCAGATGCGAGCTCAAACATATTAGAGGGAGCTGCGTAAAACTGCTGGGACGCAGGGGCTCCACTTGATGGATTAGGGGGAGGTTGACTGGTATTTGGTAGTGGATAATTCTGCGATTCTATACGATGTCTCTCCTCAGGATGATGGCTCAATGGAGGTTGAGGTTGTGAGCGATTAACAGATGTATAAGGCGGATGCCCTTGAAGAGGTGGAGGTGGCTGCGAGTACAGTGGTGAAGGCAAAGGCTGATACCCTTGATGTGGAGGTGGTGGGATAGAGGTCTGTGGCTGATGCGGTGCCGGCAGCTGGTACTGCTGACAAGAGTTTCCTAGTGCTTGACCAATCGGTGGGAAATAAGTTTCTTTTTGAGTGCTAGAAGGAATTGGGTTCTGGGCCAACTGGTTCTGAAGCTGAACTTGAGATAGTGTATTCTGTTGCGGAGGGGGTGGAGGAGCATTAGGTGGAGGAAGAGTGAAAGGCGGTTGAGCAAGCGCAACAACAGGGGGAAATTGTTGGTGAGACAGAACAGGAGCAGATGACCTTGGTTGTGCTGAGTCCACGTGTGTAGTATTGTGGGTGTCTACTTCCTGCTCAAGCTTTGGAACTAGAAATCTTGCAAGCTGTAGTTGAGTATCCATTATATCCTGCTTATTCTTTATGACCTGTACACCATCTTGCACCTACATGAAATTTGTGTAACTAGAAGATTAAAGATAACATAGCTCATAATGATGATACAAAAAGAAAAAGGAAACAGGTAAACTTTTATCTTCTTTTTTAGCCCTTTTAGTAGTTATTTCATTATTTTTATTCTTTTTATCGGTTATAGTGTTTTCAATCTACTATGGAACAGATATAAAAGCAAGATACTAATTCATCAAGCAATCACCAAATGAACCTTGTGATAAGTTTCATTCGACATGCCATCGGCATGATTCTTCCCTTCCAGAATAGGGAACACCCAGAATATCCTCTCTTTCAACTTCAGCAAATAAAAAAAGTTCCAGAAAGTCCAACAGTTCTTGATAACATTGATCCATTTCCAAATTCTGATTTCTCCATTTTTAAATTTGAAGTGATACGCCACGGTCAGCCAAGAATATAAATAGCATAGTATTGTCTACGCCGCAGACACTAGTACATAATAACATAACTTGAGAACAAAAACCATCATACTATAGCAAATTGATAACAACTGTCAGAACATCTGTATAGCTCAAATCTAGAATTACTTCTGACACATTACTTAACAATAGCATTCTCTCCTTGCATGGCTTTGAATTGTACCAATGTTCTCCCACACCTACATGCTGAAACACCTTAGATAGAGAGATGTAAAAGCTTAAAACCACAAGGAAACTACCCAAAACTTATTCAGCAGACATAAGAGTATATTTATGCAAAGGGTGTTGCTCTCGGAGAAAGATATTAAAAAATGATGAGCCAGTAATACAAGAGGCAAATTACAATTTTCCTAAGATTAGTGTAAAAATGAGCAAGAATCCGGAAAAAATAAATATATAAAGAAAAGAAGTTCATATATAATCAACGAAGGATAAAACAATGCAGCCTACACTTACACAGCTCATAGAGCAGTTTAGTCAAAACATATAGAAGAAGTTATATGAAAGATGATACCTCTCTGAAAATATTTTCCACCAGTCTCAGTTTTCCTTCAGTGCTCCCGTGGTTGTTATCAACAGAAAGCTTAAGGTCATCAAGAGAAGTTTCAATCTGGCGACTTTGAGTTTCTACCTGTGATAGTCGAGCACTAACGCTCTCTATTGCATGTAGAAGACTATCAGCGTACTTCTTCACTGTATGATCAATTTCAAATAACAAAGATGAATCAACAGTGCTCAGATCTTTATCCACAACGAGTTTGGCCGGTGCAAGCGAGTCAAGAGAACCATAATTCTGCATTGAATTACGGAAATTACAATACAAGATACATATCATTGACAGAACTTACATATAGTTCCATAAACTGGCCCAGTAAAGCAAGTAGATATCCAACTAGATTCAGCAGAACCCACATAAAATAGAAATGAAATGAGAAAGAGCTTAAAAAAGAACGATACTGCCTCATAAGGTCCACAAGCAATTAGAGCACACACGATACGAGGAGTATCGTGGGCATGTGCATGTCCTTTTCTTGTGAATGCTTTTCAATTTAAGAATCTTTATCATAGCAAAAGATAATTGGATAAATACAAGTTGACTATTCTTGCTCATAAAACATGCCAAGCAAAAGATTGATTTTAAATGATATACTAGTAGCTCATTTGGCGCATCATCTGGATGTGCGAGAAGCCCAGAACCCAACCTGCTTGGAACTGAAGCAATTATTGTTGTTGCGACAGTAGCCCAAACACAACAAAAAGGTCAGTGACCACATAATGGTCAAGTGGTTCACAACAAGCTAAATTAATACGGTTCAATAACCAAAACGATTCAGACAGAGCTATAACAGCAAACTTCAATACCAATTCTCAGAGGCAAAGTCAAAATTTCCGCACTACAACACTAATGAACCACAAAGGACGCAACAAATAGAGAAATATCTAAGCTCCACACCAACACAACTAGAAATCAAAACTAGTCGTCAGCCAAAGCCCATACAAGAGAATCAAACAGAGCAAGTGTTCATTGCATTGTTAGAGACAGATCCAGGATTTTAAGCTAGTGGGTGCAGAATACTAGTGTGCCTACACTGCTACTGAAAATATAGTACATTATAAGTTAGAGTTCAAATTCTATGCATTGACGATGTAAAGAATACTTGCAAAATCAGGTCTTTTATTAGGTAATTATATGTAAATCTCCTGATAAGCATTAACTGGTAATCTCGTAAAAATGACAACTAACTAGTTATCCACGGTTAAAAATCATTGATAGTGTAAAATCACTGTCTGTGTAAAGAATCTTTTACACTATCAGGTCACTAAAGGATATCTATAGGAAGGCTCCTTAAAAGATTTGTAATCTCATAAAATAAGACAAGACACGCTACTTGCTACAGCAGGTAAAGAGGTAAAGATGGCCATATGGTGTAAAAATTCCTTACTCTAAGGATGTAAACACTTCCACTCTAATTGGTAATTTGGTAAAATGATAACTAAACTACCATGACATGTTAAGATTTCGCTGATTTTATACTATCAGGGGCATAACTTAAATCCGTATAAGTAAATATTTGTAATATTTTTTAAAATACAGAATACTACTGGAGAAGGAGCGATTACTCTGATGCTAGCAGTGTTGCTTTTAAATTCAGCAGAATTCCAAGCCCTAACTCCAGTAATATGACCCGAATCAACATTAGATTTCGGCGGCGATGATCCAGTTGGGCGAATCGGATGGAATTCGTAACCCGGAACAATACTTTCCCCTTTTGTACTGCCGCTAATGTCCTCGTGAGGGTTCATGAGGTTGATGAAGTCATTGTTGCTCGGTGAATTTGTTAGATCCATGATCTGCTTGTCCATATACTGCGATGTATTCATCGATGATGTAGTGTATATATAAGCTTTGCTTTGTTCTTGTTATTTTGGACGCTGAAAACTATAGAGTTTGTTTTATCCTTTTTTTTTGTTTTTTTTTTTTTTTTTTTTTTTTTTGGGTTCTTTTACTCCTTTTTTAACGCTCGGTTCAGTCTGATAAAAAATAATTTCGATACTACAAAAGTCACTGTTGCTTCTTAGGTGTGCCAAGCGTAAGATCCTCCTACACAGAGACCCTTAAGAAATGAAAACTTCAGTTCTTTTTCATTTTCGCATTTTATTGAATATCTGCGAAGATCAAAGGTACTGCTTTGAACTTATCCCAACTATTAGGGACCATTTTTTATTTATTATTTTTTAATTATTCATACCCTTATTGTTAGCAAATTATCGATTTTGGCAAAACTCCAAATCGAATGCACGGAAAATACTTGGGAAAAATATCTTTAAAGTTACTCTATTAGTTAAAAATAAAAATAAAAAGGATAAAAATTAAGGCCATTGGATTATATTCTAGTCATTTTAAGTAACAAGATAACTGTTGTGTATAATTAGTCCGAAAATAATTATGTTCTAGTCATTTTAAGTAACACGATAATTGTTGTGTGTAATTAGTTAGATTTTCTCCAAGAATCTTATTTCCACAATCCATTTATATCATTCTATTTAAACTTGACAGATCAACATCACCATCAAATCAATTTATCGGATAGAAAATAAGAAGTTTGAAATACAAATTACACAAGAAATGGCAGCAAACATGAAGCTGCGATTGGGAATTGCAATCATATGGATGACGGTTTTTGCTGCAGAAGGGGAAACTGATGTACAAAGATGCATTCATAAATGCCAGGCAAGGTGTGGCAATGATCAAGAATGTTTCAATGACTGTATAAATCACTGTGTTGTACCTGTGAATGGGCAATATCAAAATTTACTATGGTAAGATTGGTTATGCTTTGGGTAAGTGTTCTAAATTTGATGTAAATGACAAGCAAAGAGAGACTTGTTTGGAGGAGTGTTCCAACAAGGATTTTGTATACGGGTGCCCGATTTTGCAATTATTTCGAGATCGGAGAACTGCATCGAGGGTCAGCCTCGTAATAGCTCATGCCTGAGCACGAAGACAAGGTACTGAGTTAGGAGATCGAGGTTCCCATCGAGATCGGGATCCCCGACGATTGAGACCAGATGTGATCAGCTTCGAGCGGAACGCAATAACGGAAAGGTGAGATATCTGTAACCGGTCGGAAATCACGGCGAAAATCTTGGAACGGATCAAATCAAGGGTTGTTATTTGTATCAATCATGGGATTTACTTCCGTAATTAGAATTGTACCTCAATTAGAATTCCTCTAGTACATAAAGAAGGGTCCCCATCATTTGTAAACATTTTACATTCATACAGAAAAGCAATATAACATTTCTCTTTTTCTGGTTTATCAACTTGTTGTTCTTCAATTGTTCTCACTTCACTAAGCTCGATGGTTCATTAACTCGAGGGCATTTCCCAGGCATTGGTTTGTTTTATATTTTCGTCAATTCCCTTCATTTATCTTTAAGTTAATCAATTGGTATTAGGTGAAATTATGTATCCTTAAAATCACGTTACAAGTTTAATTGTTACTCAATTTTTAGTGTAACAGTTTGGCGCCCACCGTGGGGCTAAGAATAATAGTGATTGCTTAATATTGACCTTCATTGCACACACTGCTTTTACACTTGTTCTCGTAAGTATTTTTGATTTCAGGAATCAACATGCCAAACTCTCAAGCAGTACCCACTCACACTGACACCGACCTTGGTCTTCATGGCTAGAATGAGCACATAGTCGCCCCCGAAAACGGAGTACTTCCATTCAATCCCGATGGACCACAAGCCGTAGATCCAATCGATGTTAATTCACGTGTCGAGATTCATGGAAACATAGGCGCCGACCCCAAAAATAGCGTCTGCAGAGACGCCCGGGCAGACGATCAGAATGCACAGAGTGGTGAGGAAGGCGGGGTTAGCCTTCGAATGATATTTGAAATGTTACAAACTCAGCAGGCCGCGATAGTGCAACTTCAAAACCAGAATCGAGCCCCAAGCAGAATCGAACTCGATACATCACAGGAAGTTGCTCATAGGGTCGAACCCGTGCAGGAAAAGTTGAACGAAAATGGATTGGAAATTGATCCCACCATCATGAAAATGCTCGAGGAGCTCACTAAACGGATAGAATTAGGTGAAAAGAAAATCGACGCTAACGACAAAAAGGTAGAAACATACAACTCACGAGTTGACCAAATACCGGGGGCACCCCCGATCCTAAAGGGTTTGGATTTGGAGAAGTTCGTGCAGAAGCCTTTTCCTCAAAGTGCGGCTCCGAAGCCCATTCCTAAGAAGTTCCGTATGTCATACATCCCCAAGTACAACGGGACCTCCTAATGAACACATCACTTCGTACACATGCGAAATAAAAGGAAATGACTTAGAAGATGATGAGATTGAATCCATTTTGTTGAAAAAGTTTGGAGAAACTCTATCTAAAGGGGAATTGATATGGTACCACAATTTGCCGCACAATTCCATTGATTCTTTCGCCATGCTCGCTGATTCATTCGTAAAGGTACACGCTGGAGCGATAAAGGTCGCAACCAGGAAGTCGGACCTCTTCAAAGTGAGACAAAAGGACAATGAAATGCTAAGAGAATTCGTGTCTCGATTTCAAATGGAATGCATGGACCTACCCCTAGTTACTGATGATTGGGCTGTCCAAGCCTTTAATCAAGCTTTGAACGAGCGAAGTTCGATAGCATCACGTCAACTAAAGAAGAATTTGATTGAATATCCAGCGGTGACTTGGGCCGATGTGCATAATCGGTACCAATCGAAGATCAGAGTCGAGGATGATCAGTTGGGAGCTCCATCCGGTTCCGTGTACCAAAACAGGTCTGAAGGCAGGATTCAAAGGGTCATTGACAGAGAGCCCCGATCGAACAGAGATCGATACCAACCATGCAGATCGAAGGAACAACAGATTGAGATGTAATCCCGTTCGAAATGATCGAAGGAATGATCGAGGTCAAAATTCTCGAGGGCTCATGAGTAAGAATGGCTTCGATAAACATGTCGAGCCTAAGGAAGCACCACAGTTATCAAAGTACAACTTCAGTAACGATGCTTCAGGTACTGTGTCAGCCATTGGACAAATCAAAGATACTAAGTGGCCCAGACCCCTACAAACTGATCCAGCTCAAAGGAATCCAAATCAAATGTGCAAGTACCATTGATAGTAGGCTATATAGTTGATATTTACACCTTAATATGACCATACTTTGTTGTTGTTTTATAGGTAATTCGCCAACAAAATGCCCTAACTAGTGTTCTTTTGTTTCGCAGGGAATATTATAGGTGAGGAAGCAACATGGAGTGTTTTGGAGGCGATAATGTGAAGAAAACGCCCACTCGAGAAGTACCCGAGCATAAAGGATCAGAAAATGGCCTGGACAAGAATTCCACCGCGACCGCGGTGGACCGCGGCGCGACCGCAGTGGATTAAAGCGTAAGGCAGTAAGGTCAGCTATCACCGCGGTCGACCGCGGTCCACGTCGCGACCGCGGTGAACTGTTCACGCTGCTGGAAGTCTGGGGACTAAAGTGTATTTTCGGGGAAACTTTTGTAAAACCCTTATAAGCTCTAGAAACTCGCCCAAGTTGAAAAGGAAGCATGTTTTAGACTACTTTTGGAGGCAAGAACAAGTGTGAGAAGATCAACCAAACATTAGAGTTTTTCTATCTCTTTTATTCTTGCAATTACCCGTTATGAATAATTTAGTAGTTTATTCTCGTTTTGTCATGAGTAGCTAAATCCTTTGTCTAAGATTTTGATGGAACCTATTGAACGATGAACTTCGTGAATATGTTAATATAGTTTGCCAGTTAATCTCTATTTGTTAAACTACGTGTTTGTTGTAGTTAATTGACAGGATCCTCAATTAGCTGTGCCTATTTAGTGTGCATAACTCGGGAAAGAGTGCATATTTAGGTATTTGTTGAACAGCATCACTCCCAAAGTATAAGAGGGATCTATAACTACGGGTTTAAAGGCGGGATTAGGGATAACGAAGCCTTGGGTGCAATCTAAAGTGAGCTGTAATAAACAAAGCCAACTAGTGTATCTCGGGAGAGTGCGTCTAGTAAATTATCGTGATTACTCGGGAGAGATTTACGGTAAAAGTAGTGCTCATGATTGATAGAGATATTTTGGTGAATCTATATGAAACATAACCGGAAGGGATTCCATCAATAGGGGAAATCACTACCTTAGAACCTTCTCCTAATTGTTTATAACTCAAGCATAGTTAGTTTTCAGCTGTTTATTTACTTTCAGTCTTAGTTATTAGTAATACCATCAACTGTTATTTACAACGTTTGAGGAAGTTGATTCCGTAGAATCTAGTAAGTCCAACGAAAGTAATTGATTGGTTAATTCCCTGTGGGTTCGACTCTGGGCATAAATACTCAGATTATATTCGCAACGTCCGCGTGTCCTTTTATAAGGCATAGTTGGGCGTGATCAAATTTTGGCGCTGTTGCCGGGGAATTAACGGTGTTATCAATTACAATTGAAAGAAATACAAAAATTCTTAGTGTAGTCAGTTTTCTCTATACCCAATCTATACATTGAAATTTTAACGTTTGCTGACTTGGTTGCACAGGTGCATGCCTAGAAACTCAACGAGAACTGGTGAAGTGTTCGAAGCTCTATCAGATCCCGAAAAAGTTTTTAAGGCCTTGAACGGGCCAACCGGAAAAGCAAACAGCAACAAACAATTGAACAATCTGAACCGAACATGGGAGATCACGAAAACAATCCACCGGCACCTCTTGTGCCAGAGGCTGCTCTCTATGACTGGGCACAACCTACAGCTGAAAATCTGGCCACAACGATTGTAGTCCCGCAGATACAGGCTGAATCATTCCAAATCACGAATAACATGTTGCACTTGTTGCAACACAAGGGACTATTTTCGGGGTCACAAGTCGAAAATCCTTAGCAGCACTTGAAGAATTTCCTGTCAATATGCAAAACTCAAAGGCAGCCCAACGTAACTCAGGAAGCAATCAAGTTGTTGTTGTTCCCATTCTCAGTAACAGGAGCTGCCCAGACCTGGCTGAACTCACTCCCCATAAATTCCATAACAACTTCGGAGGAGTTAGTCAAACAATTCCACAACAAGTTCAACCCACCCAACAAGACTGCTCAACAAATTGATGAAATTTTGAGTTTTAAACAGAGACCAATGGAGACACTGCATGAAACATGGGAACGCTTTAAGGGAATACTGGTTGTATGCCCACACCATGGTGTCCCAGATCTGATGTTGGGACAGCGGTTTTACATGGGATTGTCAGATAGTGTGAAGAACATAGTTGATGCTTCAGCTGGTGGAGCATTTTTTAGCAAAACATGGAGAGAAGGCCAGAGTCTGCTTGACAAGATGGCACAGAATTCGGTATGGATAACCAGGAATGCACCTATCACCCTAGTGGTTCACTTAGTGCCTTTAGATCCATCTAACTCTATGGCTGAAAATATGGCCACCTTATTGACTCGGATGAGTATACTCACCAAAAAGGTGGAAGAGTCAGGGTAGAAGCAACAGGTACACATCGTAGACACTACCAATGGAAGCTTGTGTGCATCTTGCATTAGTCAGCCAATTGGTAATCAGTGGAATGCGGAACATGATCATCATCACTATCCTGAAGACATGAACTATGTGTCTAATTATGGAGGCCAGAGACAGGGTGGTCAGAATTGGGGCCAGCAGAATCAGCAGTACAGGCCAGCCCAGCCACAGTTCAATACTGGGAACATGGGAGGTATGAGACCCCCTAACAATATGGCTCCTTACCCAAGGCAACAGGGATATAATAATCAGAATCAGCAGCAGGGGTATCACCCTCCTCAGTAGTAGCATGGTGGAAGGCAGGAAGATGGGTTTGCTAGACTTGAAGCAATGATGCAGCAGGTTATTGGGCCTAATGCAAAAATTAATGAGAGAGTAGATGCACATGATGCACCAATCAAGAATATTGAAGTGCAGGTGGGCCAAATTTCGATGTCTCTGAACAATCGTCCTCATGGGACA